CAAGGGGGATGATCGCACCACGTTGTGTTAAAATGGTCAAGCACCCTCGAGGCACTTACACAGTGCTTACCACTGTCTCTGGAAGTGAACACCAGATAATAAATTAAGTCATACGCAGCTGTCATCCGTACGCAAGGAAGTAAGCACAAGATGCCGAACACCCTTAGCAGGATGNGGCTTTGTAGGGATGCGAGGTCAATGGTCTAACGACTACGGCATGCACGACTATGAGTTCACCCCCTCCCCCCCCTCCCACTCCCGCTTCCTCCACTGCAACAAAGTCGCCACGTATTGCGCCTCCAAAACTGAAAAAAATAAATGAACACTACGCACCCAACGTACAGATTAAATTGGATTGGATTTTTAATTCATTTTCCATTATTCCACCCTGAAGCACCCAGCCCCCAAGAAGTTTCGAGCACGGACCTCAGTATCCCCGTGGTAGAGCAGGGCAGACCCCATCTCGATCTCCGCGTTGAGCACGTTAGGGTTGTAGATGCTCACGAGAATCTGGAAGTCCGCCTCCACGCCCGCCGACTTGATCGAGTGGACGATAGAACCCTGAGCGTCAGGAAAGACAGAAAACCGTTGGGAAGGGGGAGGGGGAGGGTAGTCGAAGCTCTGCAGACCCAAGAAGTCACAACAAGCACGCACGCACGCCATTTTCATAACTCGGCCCATCACGTTGCAGCACAGCCCAACATTGCGCAAATGTCAAAGACAGGGTACAGGCGAGAAAATCTACAAGCTACGGTACCTCATCCCGCAGAGCATCTTCCACAGGAAAGCCAACCGTGAAGTACAGCAGTCTTAAGGTCAACCTCTACGAGTCATCCCCTCCTCACACGATTGAAACATGAAACAACAAACGGCGTGCCTTTAACCCTTGAGTGACTACTGGCCGATTCAGATCCGTTCTCGGCTTCCATCACTTTGCGTGCCGAAACATCGCCATTGTGCCTCGGCTAAGAGCAAAAAACATACGGTACATATTGACCAGCAGCGAGACAGAGGCAGCCCACCCCAAAAGCACGCTTATCAGCAATCAATGCGCACAGGACTCACATAGTACCACACTATTCACCCATGCCTAATCTCTCTGACGTGGGGCAGATATCCTTTCCAGATCCAATCTACTGCCTACCGGCTGCTGTAAGGTTCAAACGCAAAATACCACCGGAGGGTATATACAGCAGCCTGAACATGTGATCAACCCGGTGCTGCATCCGCGGGGGAGAGCAGAGAAAGCGCACACCGGAGCCGATGCTAACATACTGCCTCGGTGCTTGATGTTGTTGTGATTGCGGTGCGTGTGGTTCCCAGTTTTGGGAGTGAAGGGTAGTTCGACTGCTGTGTGCAAAATTTCGCTCAAAGGCAAGGGTTTTCGGGACTACAGCTCCGATCACAGCTCCGATCACAGCTCTTTATTTGTAGTACAGAACAGTAATATTTATCACGATTTTTATGCATTTTGTGCGATAGTGGATGATGGACTCGATTCTCTGATGAGCGGGCCGTTTTGTTCGTCGATCCGGCGCTTCTGTGAGGCGGTTTCCCGCCAGCGTCTTTGCATCTAGCGCCGCNTTTGGGAGTGAAGGGTAGTTCGACTGCTGTGTGCAAAATTTCGCTCAAAGGCAAGGGTTTTCGGGACTACAGCTCCGATCACAGCTCCGATCACAGCTCTTTATTTGTAGTACAGAACAGTAATATTTATCACGATTTTTATGCATTTTGTGCGATAGTGGATGATGGACTCGATTCTCTGATGAGCGGGCCGTTTTGTTCGTCGATCCGGCGCTTCTGTGAGGCGGTTTCCCGCCAGCGTCTTTGCATCTAGCGCCGCTAGCATATGCGCTTGCCGTATGCTCTGTCCAAGGATGAGGTGGAGAAGATGTGCCAACAGGTATTGCTTGCACAGGTACATCCTAAGTGCGGACGGTTGCTGTCGGAGACAGGCATGCACACCTGCTCAGAAACTACTGCCGCTGTACAGTCTATTTCTCTCCGCATAGCTGCTACATGCTGTACAGCAGTGGTACTCCTGTACTCCTGTTCGTATCCCTCCCCATCCCTGTGAGCCCCACACATGGACCCACTGCTGCACCATCCTTGCCGCCATGATTTATGGGGGTGTACACGAATGCTTGGAAGATCTTTGACCGCATAGAGTCAGTTGTGGGGAAAAAAACAAAAAAAATCCCAATGAACCCAGTCACGTAAGGGTTAATAAGGCGACAGAAAACGTTCTCCCTCGGAGATACGTCGCATACACCCAAATAACCCCAAGTCCACAACACGAGCACTAATGAGTGGTAGTGGTGTAGAATGCCGCTGCCTTGTTTCGTTGGTCTCAAATATACCGCGAACCACCTGCACACAACCAAGCGCCACCTTGTTTGTCTCACCCAATCGAACTCCGTGTTGCACACGTTCACGCCGGGGGCGTGGGGAGCGAACCCAATAACCACCCCGCATATCAGCAGAGCCACCGCCATACTAGTGCCGCAGACCAGCCGGGTCACGCAGTAAACCTTGCGCGCGAGGGGGCTGGGGCCGGGAAGCGCTTCCGCTGCCGCCGCCTCCCGGCGGCGGCGGCGACGACGCGTTCTGCTGGTGCTGCGGCCTACCCTCCTTGCCCCGGCTCGCCCGAAGTCCCTCTTTCCTTTCGGCACCGGCGGGGCGGTGGCGGTGGCGGTGGCAGCGGCGGCCTCTGCTCCGCCTTCTTCCGCGGCGGAGGGACCGGAGGGACCTCTAGTGCCGATCCCGCCGCCACGCATGTGGACGTCGCTCTCATCATCGGCGTCGTCGTCGTTTTCTTCGGAATCGTCGTCGCCGGCCAGCGTCATGTAACCGCCGTCTCCGGAGGGCTCCGCAGCCGTGAGCCTGACCGACCGGTCCGGGGAGAAAGTCGTCACCCTAAGGGCGTTCTGCCGGCGGGTGGCGGCCGACTCTTTGGCGTACTCGCGGGCGATAGAGATCCCGGCGATGCCGCAGAAGAGCGTCGTGCTGCCCACCAGAAACACGCCGAGCAGGACGGCGATGGACGGGGCCTCGTAACCTTTGAACTCGGGCAGTTCGCGTTGGCACTGTATGTGTGTACAAGGCACGGGTTGTGGTTAGTAATAATCGTCGCGGAAGGGCAGCCCGCGATAGGTCGTCAGGGAATTCGGAACATGACGCAAGTCGTCGAATGCCTGCCCCTTCGCTTGGGGAACACTTTGGGAGAGGGGCCAATGAAGGTGAACAAAACCGGGCTGATCAACCCTCGCGGAATCAACAGCAAAAATGTACGGCAGGAGTCCACCGCATCATCAGATGAACATTAAAAGCATATTGAAGTCCAATGTGTGCGAATCAAGCCTAAACCCACCTACCAAGTGTTCCAAGGACATCATCATCGCTCGCAAGTGGTTGAGCATAGAAGTGACCCTTTTGGACTACCGCCCAATCTCCGGCAACGCCTACCTGATTGTTGTTGTAGCAGTATGTCCCGTAGGCACACCTGCGATCGGAACAGGATAGGACGAGAAGGCACGTTTCGACATCGGCGGGCAACGACATGATCAGGCGCCGCATGGCGGAGCGGTGCAAGGGTCAAGGACAGCACACATAGGACATACGGTATTCCCGGCTACACCATCCTCATGCTTGATTCGTGTGTGTGGACGTTGTTTCGCGCGAGTTACTGGTCCACTGTGAATGTAAGATTCTGCAGCTGTCGTTGATTTCGGTGTTGTCGAAGAGGGGGTCCTCAACGATCCTGGTGGTCGGATCTTGCAGTCACTTCAAAAACAGAGCACCATTTGGTGGCCAAATCGTACAAGAGTAACTGGATAGCGGGGTCGACGGAGTGTTACCAAGTTATAATCCCCAAGCCTAAAATGTTGCGTACTTCGGGAAACCTCTCGGTGTGGTACATTGTGTAGAGAGCGATGTGGAGCTGCACCCCTAGACAGGATGATGTTGAAGAATGACATTGAGCGGTCCCTACCAAGGGTGACACTAGCGTTTAAAAACTCGACGAATTTTCCTTGGCATTTGTTTGAATGAGACATGGGGATGGTTCTATCATGCCATGAATCCCCAGCCTTTCGGATGACCCAGGAACCACAGCACGTCTCTTTCTCTCTCTCTCACCCATGAAAGCTCCCGATAACGTGGCACTGCTGGTCTGGACACCAGTGACAGAGGGTCGTGTTTCTGCAAGCTCCGCACGAGTCCAAGACGCTGCAGCTTGTTGCACCGGCCCCGGGCAACAGAATCGCTGCCGCCGCTAATACAAGCGACATCGTCACCGGTAAGACCGAGCGGCCGCGAATCAGCCTCATCCCACTCACCCCTGGCGGCCGTCCACCGAGTCCTGCTGTAAGCGTCCAAAGCACAGAGAGGAGTAGAAACAAATCGAAGTACACAGAGAGAGACAGCAGTGACTTCGACGTTGTCGCCCTGCAGTCGTTCTGTTTGTCACTGCCGTAGAGAGGTAGGTATATCGACCGCCGCCGCGCTGTTACCAGTGATGACCTCCCACGCACACAAGCTTCAGCACCAGCGTCGAATATTCCGTCGAGGAGTGTTGCCCCGCTCACACCACCAGCCGTGACGCTACTCGTCTCGTAACACTTTGGTGGGTCCACGCTGGGTTCCTCCCTCGATCCCTCGACTTCTGCAAGCATGATTTGCCGGAACTCCCGGTTTGCAGATGAGCAAGAGGCGTGGTTGAAGTCCCTCATTTTTTTTTTCTTGGCGATCGGTCCTCAGAATGCCGCTCGAGACACACTTCAGTCTCCATCTTCCGACACCTGGTATATGGCTCCACGGCCGTTTATATGCCCTCGATCACAGCGAACGCTTTTCCCTAGTCAGTCTACAGTATTTTATTCGGCAGAAATAAGGCGTGTGGAACCAGTGTGTCTTGTGATCTCTCTACGACGCACGAGCCCAGCATCAGGTCGCTCCGCGCCCGCGCCCCATCGTACCCTATAGGAATTTCTCCGCTTGGTACTTCAAACAAGCCACCAAGAAGATGAGCCTCTACGCTTGGGGAAAAAACAATTACGGCCAGGTGAGAACAAAGCAGAGGAGCAGGTACTGCGATAGCTGGCAGTACGGGTGTGGTTGCTGGGTTGTTTGAGCGTCATGACCCAACAGCTTGATGGTAACGAACAGAGCACAAAATGGCTTGTCGGCTACACATAGACTTGGTTTTCAAAAGTTTGGACCAGCTCTACGATCATTGCAATCAGCTGGCCGTAATAAGCTTGCGGTAAGGGTGAAGAACGTTTGTTCATCTTACATACGGAAAGAGTCCAACCTTCAATGCGGGCGAGATATTCCTGTCGGACTACATCTGTACGTCTCTGAGTGCGAATTGACTGCTGGCAGTCTCGAAATGATGAACCCTCGTTTTCGTTTTATGACAAGTCATATCATTCGCATACAGAGCGCATGTGTGTGTGTTTTTTTTTGTTGACATCGTCCGCGCATGTATGTGCATGATGTGCGGGTGTACCCCGCCCACCGAGCACGCACACATTCAGACCAGAATTCGCGACAGTCGCGTGTTCAGGACCGCTAGGGCTCTGGTCCTCTCTGCGCCAGAATAATAATAGAGAACCAGACACCCTCTTTCGCGACGGTGCGTTTTCGGGCGGGCGTATCTCTTCCAGGACTCTCGCCTGTACTTGTACATAAATGGTGTTGATCTGCAGCTAAATAGATCATTCTCAAGAATCTCAAGAACTTTCTTCGGACTGTTAAGACCATGTTCCGTCCTTTGGGCTGTTGATTCGCACAGCAGTGGTTTCGTTTTGCATGTTCTTGTATCACCCCCTGTCGTGGTGCTCTCTTTAATTTGCTGTCCGACGAGCCGAATTTCTCTCCGGCTTTCAGAGCGCTTCATTTTGGGTCTATCGGCCTCTCAAGGAGAGCTGCTTTTCCATCTCTCTTGGCATGTTTGGGGCTTTCGGTTGTTTCTGTTCATTCCGCCTCTCACTCTGCAGCTGTCTGTCGCTGCGTCTATCCCTCCGGCTCGTGGATGCCTTTCGCCCCTCTGCTGTGCTCCCCCATCCATCCATTCACGTTTTACCCCGGTCTCTCTCTCTCTCTTGTCACATTTTCAGCCCATATACTGGTGCATGTCCCGGGTATTGTGCATTCAAATTTCGGGGGCTGGGGCAGGAGCTTTTGAGCTCTGGCAGAACACTTGGTTGAAAACCACTTTTGTTGCTCTGCGTCTGTCTCGCCCGGTCGCGGAAACCGTACCAACCGTACCAACCGCTCAGCGGCGGACGCCCCAGTCGATCTGGCGCGGTCGATGTGAGTCAGACCTTTTGTATCTCGGCGGATCCATCTCAATCAAGCGGGCATTGCTGCTTTTGTTCCACTGATATTGGTCCCCGCTCAGTCAACTGTGACGATATGGAATGGTCTTCTGTTTTATCTTCTTCTTATTATTATTATTATTATTATTATTATTATTATTATTATTATTATTATTATTATTATTATTATTATTATTATTATTATTATTATTATTATTATTATTATTATTATTATTATTATTATTATTATTATTATTATTATTATTATTATTATTATTATTATTATTATTATTATTATTATTATTATTATTATTATTATTATTATTATTATTATTATTATTATTATTATTATTATTATTATTATTATTATTATTATTATTATTATTATTATTATTATTATTATTATTATTATTATTATTATTATTATTATTATTTTGGCCTTCCGACAATTGCAGATGTACCTCAGAAAAATTTCACTTAATGTCTCATACTCTACATAATGGCCTTCTGTTTTCTCCGCATCTTCGACCTGTTGCATTCTCCGCAGCTACTTTAACCTACACGTACATTCATGCGTGGACCTGCTCAGTTGTTACAGGACGAGCAGACGCCGGGCGCGTTTCTGCGGGTAAGGCTCGGAAAGGCTCGTTCCTCTCAACCATGAAAGCCCAAAGGACCCGTTGCCGTACCACTACCTCGTCAACCCTCTCAAAAACTTACAATTTGCGATTATTTCCGACATCTGCGTTGCAAACAGCGTTCTCTCTCTGCTGTGTATCGTACGCACGCACAGGAGTCGTTAGGAGTCTTTCACTGTCGGCTTGGCATCATGTCCAAGCGCCGGGTTGTGTGTATGTCGCTGCACGGGCACTCTTTCGTTCGTGAAGGCCACGCGTTTATTTATTTTTTTCGGTTGTATGGGGACACGAATCAATTGAGGGCGTTGCCTGTCTGCAGTACGAGCACTCTTTTCCTCAGCAACCGAACCACTCCATTTCCACTGTTGTTCAAGTGATTGCTGCTTCCCACGAATGATATATCGCAGGAAATTTACCTTGACGCATATCTTGGAATCCATCTATTGGGCGGGGCCGCGAAACATAGCCTTGTTTTCATATGCAGGTAGACTACATGTAGTCGAGTTGGCACGTCTTCACCATTTCGACAAGAAATACCAGTCTAATCCAAATACTGTCGGAGGGAACTCTTTGGCCAATGGAAATGTGGTGGCTATTGAAGCAGTATCCAAACCTCAAGACACACGGTACAACCGTGGGCTACTACTAATGCATCTTGCGTGCCGGTCCATCCTTGTCACACGATGCTGCTGCTGGCTACCCCTTGCGGTTGGTGTACTACTGCTGTACGACGCATACAAGGAGCCCAGCACTGGCACAAGTTTTCGTGATAGGTGCTTGAAATTGATGGTTGGTTGTCGCGGGGATCTAGCTGATATCTGGCCTCCCTGCCCCAGACAATTCTAGCGGCTGGGTTGACATTCCGGATGTTGGCGTGTTTCCAATGCCCTCCCCGTGTTTCCCACCTACTGGTTCACATGTTGGTTACTCGGAGTAGTGCTTGCGACTTTGTCTCTCGTGTTTGTTTGTGCACAGCTCGGTGTGAAGCAAGAGCCCGCACGAAGCAACCCCAGCCGGCACCAACCACGGCAAGGGCAGCAGGAAGAGGAGCAGCAGGTGCAGCCCGTCAACGCCAGGCGCCCGCCTAAGTTGGGCAGCGAGAGGGCGGGGCAAGGCCAAGAACCGGTGAGGTCATGTGCACATGCGCACGTGCACAGAACGGTTGCTGCAATCCGTTCAATTTGGTGCTTTTCCAGTTCGGATGGCGGAGGCCGCTGTAATGAAAAATCGGTGCCATAGGGTCTGCTGACTGTTCACTGCGTCGTCAGGCCAAATTGTTTTGTGTCCGTTTTGTCGACAGAGTATTGTACAGATCTGCAACACTATTGTTGCTCCTCACGATGAACAAGATGATAGGCTGGTAGTGTATATCAGCAGTCGTAGGAAATCGCTCATGATGTATGTGGTATTGTACACTGCTGTGTTGTATTCGTGAGGATACCGATTGCAGCAGTCATTTGGTGCTTGTAGTTTTGCAGCATTAATGAACCAGGCAGGAGCAGAATGAGCTTCGGTGAGGTGTGCGCTGTCAGAGCTGAAATCGGCGTTTGTTGTGCTACGAAGTCGCTCATCATGTGCGCGACATCGTTTTCTGTGTTGTATTCTGAGACCTTGTACAACTTGGCTATCAATCATATCTTTGATTACTTACACGCAGAATGTTTTACCACCTTCGCGTCGCCTCTCGCGTGTGGAAACGCACATTCCAACCTCTTTGCGCGTATGGTTGTCGTTGGTACCCATTGTTAACAGGTGGGTGTGGAGGTGGACGGAGAGTCCTTCGTTGCGGCAGCCGCCGGCGAGCACCACACCCTTGTCGTGACCCAGTACGGCGACGTGTTGACCTTCGGTCGCGGCAAAGAGGGGCAGTTAGGGCATGGCGAGGCCTCGAGATTGGACATGGCCGACTCCCCACGGAAGGTTGGTCGTGCGTTTGTACTTGTGGGTGGTGTTCTTGTTCTTGTTCTTGTTGTTGTTGTTGTTGTTGTTGTTGTTGTTGTTGTTGTTGTTGTTGTTGTTGTTGTTGGTGTTGTTGGTGGTGTTGGTGGTGGTGTTGGTGGCGGTGCTTGTGGTGGTGCGTTTCATGTTGCTCTGTATGTAGTTTTTGTTTCCCCCCGTGTTTTCGTCTGAAATATCCCAAACGGGCCCGTTTTGGTCCCAAACCAGGCACAGACAGCAGTAGGGTGGGGTGCTCTATCGCGACTGCCTGATGGTACGGGCTTATGGGGTTGGCAGGGGAAAGAACGGCGAAGTTAGTGCAGGGTGCTCTGAATCTCAAGCACAGCGCTCCAATCGGCGCGTAGGTAAGTCTTCCGGTTGTGATGGTAACTTGCAGGTCGTCGTTGTTTTTCCTGCCATTTTCCAGCTATGCACGTTCACAGCCGGCAGCAGCCCTTTTTTCTCCCTTTCCGATCTTCTCTTCTCCACCTGCACACGGCATGATATAGCAGAGGAAGAAGCGACCTGCGCACTCAACACGATCATGCCCCTTGCCTCGACGATTTTTCCTTCTGGTTCACGCGTGACAGAACATGGCGTGAATGATGCAACAAGCGCGACACTTGCGCATTTGGATTCGTTAACTGCGTTACCTCAACTATGCCCCCGTGGCCCGTGCGCGCGCGTGTGTCGCATTTGCGACAGGTGGGATCCCTCTCGAACGTGACCGTCACCAGGGTGGCGTGTGGGGCGTTCCACTCCCTGGCGGTCACCTCGTCGGGAACGTTGTACGAGTGGGGTCTGATCCACAGCGACCCTGACTGGACGGCAGAGAAGGTACGACGTGCGCAGATGATGGGGTTCAGTTGCACGGCGCACACCAAAACACAAGCGTAAGGTGTGAAGCGCACGAATGTGTTGTTGATGTGGAGCTTCGCCGAGCCCAAAAGAATGGAGGGCCACGTCACGGTCTTGGAGGACAATGGCATCGTCGTGTAGGTGACGAGATAGTGTCGTGCCTGGCGGGATCCAGTGTAGACAGGAGGGGGAGGAGCATGAGATGTATTGGCCAGCTTCCCAAGGCCGGCGTGCAACCCCCGGGGCTCATTGTGTCATGATGGTTACCGGTCTTAACAGAAGGATAGTTAAATGCCTGAGAGCGTTGGGTGCTTGGTAAGACTGCGAAGTAGTCCATACACAAGGTACACGGATTCCGAGCGTACTTTAGTGTACGATGAGGAAGTGCCGGCACGGGCATGATGTCTGTGTCATCCCCTCCCGCAGTGTTTGTTTCCAAGTTAGCTGTGTCTGTGGGTGGAGGCTACCTTCCGCTGAGCAGACCAGGAAATAGGGAAGGACGGCTGCACAAGCAGTGGATGTGCAAAACGTCAAATGAAATGAATCAAAATTCTTGCTTTGTCCTTGGTTTGTGTATACGTTAACGATGACGTTCAAATCTTACAACACCAGCAATAGCAGCAACAGCAGCAACCGAGGCATCGGAAGCGTGAGTTATCGTGAAGCAACTGCCATTTCTCAAGCTCGGCAGTCAGCGGCGGCGGCGAAAATAGCAACGACACCCGAACACAAACACTCCGCGAGAATTATGTTGTACACATTAGAACAGAAACTCCCTGCAACGCCGAAGATAACGAGAAATACCACCGCCACGTATCTATGATAGGAGGCGACGGATGCGGACCTGCTAGCCCTTGCAGGACCCTCCCAGGTTCACCTCAACCCAGCGCACCGCCTGTCGAGCGTGGTGGCCGACAGCGCGCGCAGGTGGCTGTCCGCGACCGATGACACAGAGAACAGCGAACGCGATGATAGTAGCAGCGCCGAAGGCAACAACAGCATGGACGAAGAGACCAGAATCATGTGAGGGAAAAAACGGGGGGGGGAGGGGGGGGCGAGAGCTACCGGGGACTGGGCGAGTGTTGGTTTGCTGTGGTAGTAGTGTCGTCGTTGTTGCCTCCCGCACGTTTTTTTTCTGCGTGTGCTCCCGCGTGGCGATTTTGCCTTCCTTGACAATTTTTCTGCGCGTTGTAGGCATAGGTATGTTGCGGAAGGTGTGGCACACGCCGTACATCGGTCTGTGCTCAACGCGACACTTTTGCTGTCGAGCTGCTCTACGGTTGGTATGCACCTGCTCGCAGGCATCAGCAACTCATTTTTGCAAGTGTAGTCGAAGAACGCTCGCTGACTTTCGAGTATGAGCTACAACGCTCTGTTGTGTGGTTCTCTGATTGCGGCCGTTTGTTATCGTTGTCGTCGTTTCTACCGTTCTTCTGCCGCCCGGTCGACGCCCTCGTTGCACGTGTTACAGCCACCAACACCAACACGTCGCACCCAAGGTGTCACACCCAGTGCCCCTCCACCCTCCCTGTCCCGCCCTGCCCCGCCGCACGACCTTTTTTTTTGTTGTCAGGCAAAAGAGGATGTTGGAGAGACTTCCCACACGCAGCCGCCAGCCCGTGCCCCGGCTGGCGACGTCCCTGAGGGGTCTGCGCGTGACCTCCATCAGCGCGGGTTATGCCCACTCCGTGGCCGTCACGGATCAGGGCAGGGCGTTCTCCAGCGGGCAGAACGATAGAGGGCAGGTCTGTACGTCTGAGCGAAACGCTTTCAAAAGGTGGCACGTCATTGGCTACGTACACTTGCAATGACAGAAACAACGTCTAATGTGTCGCAGGTAGTAGTCTTAAGCACGAGAGATTGCACCCCTGCACACATGGCACGAAAAGTACGTGTCAAATCTGCCATTCTGTGAGGAAAAAGGGAAAGCAACATGCAAACCCACGGGTGCAGCCCGAAGACGCAATACGCCAGGAATAGCCGTGTGGTGCTAGCATCTTTGTTGTTCAGGGCCAACATCAGCGCTACAAAAATTATGGGCTACTTGGCACGTGGTCACGCTGCCAAAAATGACCCTCCCGGTGTACAAACGTTCCCCCAACCTCGTGGGCGTGCCGCGTTAAATGGAGTCGTCCATCCACACCCGGTCGCCCCGGTGGTCTAGTGGGTAGCCTCGCAGCCTGCTAAGGGCCAGGTCATGGGTTCGAGTCCCGACAGAGTGAGTTTTTTCTCGCTAATTAAATCCTAGTCTCCGTTGGAAGCGACGCGCTGCAAAGCTCGTTGTTAGTAAACTTGATCGACTTCATCAGTCGCGAGGGAAGGGATTGCTGTACCCTTCTCGCGATAAAAAAGTATCTCAGACAGGAACCGCAGCAGGAGCCCAAACCCCCTCTCCTATGTGACCCCGGTTGGGTCGTCTAGCTGGTATTTTAGAAGTGGAGGATAGGGGCCAGAGGGGCAGTCGACAGAGTCCAATAATGGGAGACAAAAAAAAAAAAAACTCACACCCCCTCCCCTCATGCCCCCACCTGCCGCTCTGCCTCGTCTCTTTGTGGTCTCCGTTCTACCACCCCCTCTATGCCTCACTCTTTTATCTCCCTCTCCGTTCCCCCTCCTGCCACCATTGTACGTTTTCACTTCTCTTGCTTGCTTTCCTTTATGAAACTGCTATTTTGCAGCTCGGACTTGCGCACCGAATCCACAGTGGCATCTTCCGGGAGGTGGTCGGTATGGCGGGTCGTTTCTTCCTCGAGGTTCGTTCGCTCTCATCACCTTTGTCTGTTGGCTTGCCTTGCTGTTTCTTCTACTTGAGTATAGCTGTTGTTCCTTCTTGGTCGTCTTTTCGATTGTGTTTTTGTTTTCGTCTTCATCATCCGCGAGATGCGGCGTCGTTTCCACCAGTTCTTGTTTGTTGTCGATGGGCGCTGGCTTTCTCTTACTGGTCGACTCGTATCGTATCCTTGGTGCCGGGCGCTGCATCTGGACACGCGATTTGTCGCCAGTTACGACCGACGGTGTGAGAGTGAGCCGGACAGGGGCGCGTGTGTGTCGTCGTTTTTGTGGTGTGACCTTGCCGTGCTGCTGTATCATGCCAGTTGAGCGCGACCCGAGTCCCAGGATACTTTAAGACCGGTGGCGTCCGGCACATTTTGCGTCTTGTACGGAGTATGCTCGTTTCGACGACGAAAACGGGCCGAACGGATTGACTAAATGAAGGGGGAACTACCGCAGTACGCACACAACCTGGTGCCGGGTATAGCGAAGCCTTGCCTCCGGTTCGTTGCGGTTGCACAACTCCCGTCCAACCCATTCAGGCCGTTGTTTGTCGGTGCCGAGCGCGAACGCTTGCGGTACTGTAGCTTGTCACATCTTGTTCAGAACCAACGAAACAAAGGCTTCGTTGTTCTTTGCTTACACTACGCTTCGCCGTACTTGCGAATTACTTCCCACTTCCGCTCTCGGTTCCTTATGATGCGCTTGCTTTCCGCGTCCTTTTTGCGTCCAGGTAGCGTGCGGCGAACAGCACAACCTCGCTCGCGTCCTCCCGTCGTCCGACAACAACAAGAAGCCCCCCTCGAGGTCTTCCAGTAGCAGCAGCAGCAGCAGTCTTGATCAACAGGCTGAGCTATTCGTTTGGGGTGGAGGGCGTCTTGGTCAGGTAATTCTAGAGAGAGAAAGAGAGAGACGGACGGATAGACAGAGACAGAGACAGACAGGCAGGCAGGCAGAGACAGAGACAGAGAGACAAAGACGGAGACAGAGGAGTCGGCCTCGCTTTCTCCTTTTTGCTTGCTTCGGCTGAGCGTTGGGCATGAGACCACTACACTGTTGAAAAAGCAAATTGATATCTCACGTGCCCTGTCGTCGCAAACGCCGGGTGGCTGGCTTTTGAACGGTGAAAGACGATCAATCGTAACCCGTGACCCTTCGGTCGTGGAAGTGGCTCGCACCACGCGGCCGCCTTAGCGCAACAACAGCACCAACAAAAAGACACGCACATTTCAACAGTGAGACTCGTGTGAAACCCCCGTCGCAAGTGAGGTACACCCCCTTTCACACGAGTCGCCGAACACCTCACGGCGAATCGCGGTTGGAACTGTTGAGAGTCTGGTGGGCAAAAACCCCGACATGTCCATCCCCGGCTCTTCAGGGATGAAAGCAGCCGTTGATCGAGAAGAAAAAAGCGTGTGTACGCCAATAGTACCCGCGTCAAAAGTACCCGCGTTGCCCTCGCTCCGTCCCCGATCCCGCCGATGCGTACTGCCATACCTCCAACATGTTCTTGCCCGCTGTCCCGCCGTTTGTTTTTGCCTTGTGTCTTTCCCTTTTTCAATCGGTGGGGCACACCCACACGCAAAACGCAAACACCCGGGTGGGCTCGACATTCTCCCCGAACTAGCTCGGCTTGGGAGCTGCTTCCACCAAGCTCGCGCCGACCCACAACCCTCTGCTGAGCGACGTCGGGGGCGGCGTGGTGAGCGTCAGCGCGGGCGCCAACCACTCGGTGTGTGCGATGGCCAGCGGGCTGGTGATGAGCTGGGGGGCCTCCGAGTACTGCCAGCAAGGGTGTGCAGGTCGGTGCTTCGCGTGGTGTCTGGTGCCATCCGAGGGTGTCGTCTGACGTCGTCCACATGCACAACCCTTACCGCCGATGCGTTTTTGGACCGGCAAGTCAGCGGGTCCAGGTCCCCTCCGCAGCAATGATGCCTAGCGAGAGTTTTGCTCGTGAGGTTCCGTGACTCGATTCAGAGGTCGACGAGAAGCACGGTTGAAATATCCGATTTTTCCGAGTAGAATTGAGGGCGATCATCGCCGAGGAAACATCCTCTGCGTGGCCCCTGTTGGCAGGCCCAAAGCTGTATCGGCATCCCTCAATATCCTGTTCGGGCTCTTGAAAAATAGATGGAATAAATCGAAATGGATGAGGCTCAATCAACAACATATGTTCTGCAGTCCCCGGCTCAACACCCTGTTGTTTCACTGCCCTTTTTCTCCGTATCACGACCTGTCCATATCGGTGGTCGTCTTCGTCGTTTGTCCCTTGCATTTGTACGTCTTGGGTTGGAGCAGTCGTGGCCGGCGCCGACCTGATGAGGCACACAAGCGGCAGCGGCGGCGATTACTTTAGGGTGCCGAGGACCGTGAACGGCCTTGTGGGGACCCACATCGTTTCCGTGCACTGCGGAAGCAACTTCACGCTCGCTGTCGACCGCGACGGACTGACGCACAGGTGGGTACATAGGACACACGTCCCTGCTTCCGTTCCGTTTCCGTTGCTAGTGCTGGTGCTGTCGTTGGTGTCGTTGTTGTGCATCACAGTACAATAGCAACGACCAAGAGACGTTTTCATTCTGCGCTACAAAAACTACACAATCGGCCTTCCTACAATCGTCGAATAAGGAAGGGCGCAACTTGAGTTACTTTCTCGGCGCCCTGCTCGACAGCATGCAGCCTTCGAAGCTCCGAAACAACTACGATAGCTCCACATGAACTTGGTGAATCTCGACAAGCGAAAGGCGGACCCACCTGTTCCACCTCGCCGCCGCACCTGGTACACGGAGAATCTCTCTTGATTTTTCTGTACTGCTGGTGTCAGCAGCATCAAACCAAGCTACCCACCGGGCGAAATGGGGACGAAATGAGAGACGACATACACCTGAACCTTGCCAACCAGACCTTTTACCTGGTGAGCGGAAACCAGGCATGCTCTGGTCTGGCGCTCTTTTGGGACGTACGAAGCGACTGGTCCAAGGCACACTACAGTCAACCACTGGGAATGAATGCAGTTTAGTAAGAGACAGAGCACTCCAGAGGGCCACCCACAGCGACGGGTATCACCTCGAATGGTATGCATACGTACACTGCAGCGAGTAATGAACTGCCCTCGCCCCCCCCCCCCTCTGAATTCATTACATATCGGGTACCGTCCGGCACGCACGCAAACAGTTTTGGATGGAACGAGGGCGACGCCCTGGGCCGTGGCTGGGAGGGCGGCTACGACCCTGCTCCTGGCCGTATACCCTCCATCCCCAGAGTCGTGAGCGTCGCCGCGGGATCGAGGCACGGCGTGGCCGTTGCGGCTGAAGGTCCTGCCGTGGGGCGCCACCTCCGGCCCCTCATCGGCGCCGTCGATTCCGCCGACGTGGAGCTCCTGACTCCGGATGCGGCGAGTCGGGGAGAGCCGGGTGAGTCCGTTTCGGTGCTTGGTGGGTCGCGCGAATGTGCCTTGAACGTGAGTAGATTAGCTGTTCAGCGGGAGGTGGGCGGGGCGGGGCGTCCTATTGAGTGCGTTGTTCGGTGATGAGCGACTTGTACTGGTAACTCTGGATGAATATTGAAGTGTTTTCGGTGTCTTGCAACGGAGCGAAGATTTTTTCCACGTTTTGCCGTTAGGTATGCGTCGAGTCGAGTCGAGCAAGGGGTCGCAGTCTGACGGGCGTGACGGACCGGACGACCACCCCACGACGCGGGCGCGTTTTGTTGTCTTCGTTTGCTTTGCGTTGTTGATCTTTGTTCTTGTCCTGGCTTGTGTTTGTCGTTTGCTGTTGTACTGGTCTATGCCCGCTCCTTCTCTCGTGCTCAATCGACCCAGACGCTCAATACATGTGCCCCAGTAAGCCGCAAGGTAGTGCCGATCTGCTCGCCTTGGGAAGCCGAAAGCGCAACACGAAAGTCAGCCCCCCGTATCCTCCTCTGCGACGCTCCCTACCTCCAGCAGATGCCCGAGTGTTCTCTCTGCTAACCATCCACGCAACCTGTGCAGACCATATCAACTCTGTCCTTGTCCGCTCTCGTTCTTGCCTCGCCATCGGCTCTGTTCCTTGTCCTACTCCCCTGTACTTTCCCCACTTACCAACTGCGTATACCCCCGTGTTTTTTTCTCGTCCCCCGTGTCGTCCGACCCTTCCAAACCAACCCGCCTCAACCAACCGTCGAAAAAAACGACGACAGGCGTTCCCGCACACATGTCCGTGATCTCGGCGCGGTGCCCATACCTCCTGGGGCACATCGAAGCGGCCCGAAAGACGTCATCCGCTTGTGCTGCTGCTGCTACGAACGAGAACGGCGCCGACAACGACGGTGGCGCCTCGAAGAGGGTAGTCCTATGCCTCGAGCACGCTAGCGCCGAGAGCGTCCCTCTGCTGGCGCGTTACCTGTACGCCGACGAGCTTCCCTCGGACGCCACGTCGGGCAAGACTCTGGAGGCCCTGGCCAGGCTCGCGAACGAGTTGCTCCTCCCCAGGTTGACCTTGTTTCGCTGTTTGATTCGGAGAGGGGAAGAAGAAAAGTGTGATTCCCTTAAATCGCATGTCGCTGAACTCAAATCTAACGCTGTCTTTCTCTTCCGTCGCGATGCCGTCTGCATGACAGGTTGGAGGGGTTGTCCGTGCAGAAGCTCCCGTACTCCCTACGCCGCAGGTTCGATTTTTCAGTTCTGGGTATCGATTTCGATGTTGCTGGTGATAGGTGAAGGATTTGATACACCTTAATTTCCATCCCTCGGGCTTTGGGGCACCGTGTATCACCCTTCAAGGGTATTCTATCATATGTGCCGATCGGCTCTGGCAACCTTGCCCACTTACGTAGTACAATCAACATTTTTTTTTTCGTATTTCTATAGTATCATCGTATGGCTTACAAGGATCTTGAGATGAACGATGCGCGATAATTGTGTGGGAGGGGATTGTCCTAGACCTCAGTGGCGCTCGCTGCTGATGTTGGATGCGGTCCGGGGTGATCGAATAATCATGTTCGTCAGCATCCATGTGAATTGTGCCTGCCTGCTGAGAAGCATATCTTAGTGTGTTCGATGAGACCGTCAACCGCTCCGCCCCTGATCCCACCGCCGTTCTCCTCCGGCACCCGTTGTGTGACTACACGGCTGTTTACGATCGATGTTCCAATGGAAAGCTGTATCTTCGACATGGGCAACATTTCATCCAACGAAAGACCCCCCCCCCCCCCCCCCCNNNNCCCCCCCCCCCCCACGCTGTTTCTCGTGAACTGCCCACGCACGCTTGGGATAATTGCTGCGGCGAACTCCCTGAAGGTACGTTTTGCGCACCCCCAACACCACGCTCTCGGTGTCCGGGGCCATTGACGTTCCGCAGTCGACGTTCGTCAACGACCTCGGCCGGCTGGCTGGCTGGTCCAACCGCTCGGACATCTTGCTGGTGAGACACACCATTTGGGAACAAGGGTACAAGTCTGTGTACCTACCACATGAGGGACAGGACAAACGGGAGAGAAACATTTCTGCACGTCTCGCTCACGGTGGTCGTAATGGAAAGCGGGGAGCCCGTGCTTGTGAAAAGCGAGATACTCCGAACTGAGCGGGGAAGAAGAACTCATGCGGGCTCTCGCTCTGTGCCCCTGCGGTGCGATTCCGATGTACCTGCCTCCTACTGTTAGGTACATCACGGCGACGTTTTCGAACGAGCTTCTAGGCATGTAGGATGCCAGCCAACCCGACTGCTTTGATAAAGGCCTCTGCCACTTTTCTGGTCCCTCAAACATATCTTGCCCCGGCACCCGTCCAATTTTCCCCTCCTTGCTTCGGCCTTTCTGAGCGTCGGGCGTGTGGCGCCGTGGTCTACACAAGCGACACCTCGCAAGGGATATGTGCCGCGTGCTGCGTCTCGCAAGCGCTGGGGCTGTTACGCCATCGACGAACACGATTTTAGCAAACAAGTCCACATAAAGCGAAACACGTTCCGGCCCCCGACGACCCCCCTCCCCTCCAGGCGACCCTTACTCCTCAAACTCTCTTGAGATTCATTTTCATTTGTGCACTTGTCTCCCTTCATCGCACACCTCCAAACGCAACCGCAAGCTTGTCCTCTTTGTTCACCGTCATGAAGGATGTATTATTATCCCCTCTGCATTCGTGCATTCACGTGTGCTCCAGGTGCTGCCAGCCTGGGGGTGGGAGTTCCCCTGCCACAGGGCGGTGTTGTGCGCCTCGCCCTGGTGGCATGCCCTGCTGGAGGGAGGCTTCCGCGAGGGGGGCGGGGACAAGGTCGACCTGTCCGGCCTGCTGCTTGAGGGAGTGACGCGAACGGACGCGCTTGAAGTGGCCATCAGGTGAGAGAAGAATGAATTCAACAGCAGTCATCATCTGAAGACGACATTCGTGGGCAACGTCCGTTTGGTTTGCAAAGCGGTTGGTCGAACAACGGAGTGCGATAACGATCGACCGTCTCCACCGCGCCTCTGAACATCGAACACCTCCTGGCTCTCCTCGTTCGAGGGGCCCGCTCCGGAAATGTCGGCCAGCACCGTCGGTGGTTCACAGAAGCTCACAGAAAGTACTGGTACAACTTGAAATGATTCAGCGTTGACCCCCCACCCCCCTCTCACTCCTCTGTAGGGTGCAGAAGACCACTAGTCCTGTCGCACTTCAGCTTCTTTTTTATGGCTCTCGGACGGCTTGTTTTCATTGGTCCTGTGGATAGCTTCACTATTGATACCGCTGTCGTTCGGGCCCTGAGGGAGCATGACTTACGCTTGTTGCCCGCCCGTATAATTATTGTCCGCGTGATCAGGCACGTATACTCGAACTCTCGCTTCTCCGTGGTCGACCTGGTTCCCGAAGTTGTCATGGAGGTGAGGGAGAGACACCAATGTCACTGCTGTAGTTTGTGACAAGCTATTTCGCGGGGGGGGGGGAGATCCTCACTGTCATGAATGACAGGGTACCTGAACGGGAACAGAGGTGCTAAGAAGCGACTCTTAACGTTGCACTCCCTCGTTCCATGGATGATTTTATGTACATCCATGGCGTTTTTGTGTGGGCAGGTGGTCATCATCGCCGAGTTCATGGTCCTCTCGAGCCTGACCAGTGCCTGCGAATGCGAGCTCGGGCGCTACGTCGACGAGGACAACGCGCCGCAGCTGGCTCGGTTCGCCAACAGGTACCGCCTGCTCAAGCTTGAGACCCGCTGCCAGGAGTTGCTGCTCTCTTCTTCTTCTTCTTCCTCGTCGACGACGACGACGATGACCACGCAGTGAAGGAAGGAGACGACCTACAAGATTCTCGTGGTCGGAAGGAATTTGGCCGGAGCACGGATGAAGAACGAGCCAGGCGTTCTAGCACGACGATTTTGTTGCTGATCCGGACACTGAGGCAGGGGCTAGTGAATGGCAATTCGATTTGGTGCGATCTGATCACCCCTCCTCGTCCCCCTTTTGTGTGAAGGGATGTTGGGCGTAGGAGACAAAATGGATTCGCCAGCAGGCACCACCTCTCCTGCGCTAATATGGAAATAACTTTGTTTTTGTCGATAATTTACTTTCTGACCGGTGTCGTGCGCCAAGATCTGTGCAAAAATGCACTGCACATAGCTTTTGCGAAGAGAATTTAGTTCCGGTGATGTCGAGCAAGATGAACCTGGCGCGTCGTTGTGGATGGGTATGGGTTCGTTTGTCCTTTCCTCTCCTGAGGTTCGCGACACCAACCTAACCGAGACAATGACGGAGGTAACTGAAGGTATTGTCGATCTCTCCGCGCGTTGATAATGGTAGCAGCAAAGGAGCAGCAGCAGCGAGAATATCGACAAATTAGCCATTGATTGGTCGGGTGTGGGGGGGGCGGACTAGCAGCTGCATGGGTGTACTTGAACGAGCGCTTGATTGGTCTTGCCAACGGATGTATGCCACACGCTCTACAGGTAGGGCTTAGCAGGTGTGGGTTAGTTGGTGGATAAGGGAAGGCGGTAGGGGGCTACAGTCTTTTGTGCACCTACTAAATCTTTTTCCAGGGTTGTCTCTAGGTTATGTTGACGTTAGGCATAGGCATTTTGGTGGCGTCAAATGTTTAGACTTGATGATCTGGCGGTTCTCCACGGGGCAGTTCTTTCTGTTGCGAACGAACAATTCCCTTGTCGATGGGCGGCGGGGGAAGGGCGCTGCGTGAGCTTGTATTTGTTATGGCTGGAAGATGTCGTGCGGGTCTGATGGGCGTTTGTCTAATTTCGTGTGTTAGTCTAGTCGTATTTGTTAAGTGTGGCCTGTCCATGTGAGGGCGGAGCACTGTATTGTGGCTCGAAAAATTGAGGTGCGGATTTTGTGGAATGCGCATACGAAATCTTGATGAGCTTCGCACAGACCATTAGTTGTGAAGGGTGGCTCCCAATCTCTGTGTGTGCGAATGAAAATTGTTTAACGTGAAAGTAACGCCCGGTTCCGCCTTCTTGGAAGCGGTTTTATGATGTTATTGGCAGGACGTAAGAAAGTTATTGAAGGCCCATTCTTGAGACCTAAACAACGATTTTTGCTCTCGCTTTTAGTTCGACGTTGAGACCTTTGGTTCTACTTGTATGGGTGTTGGGGGCTAAGATCGCGGCTCACCCCAGGTTACGTCTAGAGGGTGTTTCCGGAGGCAAACAAGCTCTGCCAATGAATGAAGCTAGCGTTGCGATGTCCGAATGGCCGACAAGCTTGTTACAAGTACCTGGTATGCATACCTGCGTGATCGTGTCAGGCATGACGGTTGAATCGTGCAGAATTGCAATGTCTGATTCAGCCACGAAACGGGTGTACAGACCTGCGGGTGCGAGCCACGTCGGCGACAGCATGATCATGTGACCCCACCGTGCATGAAGTCATCGAGTATACACATTGTAACGGTCAGAGCGGTAGGCGCCTCTCGTATCACATGCCGTAAGGTTTACTCCTTTCTCTCGCCTTTCATCATCCATGTGCTGTGCGATGGGTGGTTTTCATCGCTAGATCGCAAGTTCAAACAAACTCATCTCACCGAACAAGAGCCCACGAGGATCGTCAATGTTCGGGAATTCTTAAGCAACCCTTATGAGTGAGTGTTACGACCGATACGGTAGGTGACAAGATATTTCACGCCCTCGATCGATTTTCGTAGCTCGATTTCTCCCCGGTACAAAGAGTGGCAGGGCCGAAAACGGCAGCGTTGAAGCCATGTCGTCCAGAGCTGGCTTTCGAAAACAAACATTTCATTTATCAAAACCTGGTTCGCTAATGTTGTTGCTTGCCTTCTTCCGTGTTGTTTGTTTGGGTTAATCAATCCGAGGAGCACTTGTCGAGTATTCTACATTGATCCCGTTAGTACTAACACTACCATTGTGTGTAGTCTGACATTGTTGTGGTGCTACTGCTGTACTACTACTGTACACTACTCCCCGGCTGTTTCCAACGGCCACAAAACTCCTGCTTGGAGACTACCCTACACTTCGACTTGTCATGGTTGTTATTATTCACGCCCGATTTCAAGCTCGCCACCTCCTCCGCCTAACTGGTGTTGCTTGGTACTTGAGACTTGCGTTTCATAGTCTTACAGGCCGGCGCAGGATGCCTCACCCAACCAAAGCCAATACTGCAGTGAATGATCTGAGTGAGGGACAAAAAATACAACAGCTTTGCCAGGGGTAAGCGCTGTGCGACGAACACCTTGCAGCAACACTGCTCTGGCCGCGGGGCCATCGAGTAGCGAAGAAGAGCAGTGAAATTGGCCATATCATTTTATAGACTACATTCCCGGGATGATGCTTCCCGAATCCCGAACCTCCCTTGACTCTGTTGAACCTTGAAACTCAGGAATATTCTCGGTACACAAAGATGGTTCAGTTTTGGAACCCGTCCTGGAGAACCTATGAGCCTATTGAGTCAGCTGGTTGGAGTGGCTGGTTGAGGTCTACAGTACTGGGAAACTCAGCCAAACATGGTTCTACTGGAGAACCGACTTACCGACGGCGGACGGCGGACGGCGGACCGAAACAACCCGCCAATCCGCCGATAGGGCACTGCGGGCACTGGGCCTCGGGCCACCACCTCGCACAAGGGGATCAGGTATCCGGGGCCGTACCTTGCGCCGTTGTTTTGTGGCAGTCTCTCCTTCGGCCCCAGCAGCACCGGGTACAGGGTAGGGCAGCTATCACGCTGTCACCTGGCTACCGTTAGGTCGTGGGGTTTTGATTCATTTTCATTCCTGGTTGATTCCTGGTTGCGCCGCATATTCTTACTGCTGTGTCCCTTCATGGCCAGTATGACCATCAGCGTGGTGCTAACAGCGGCAGACCCGGGCCCGTTCGCGTCAGCTCTGACCTCGCGACTTCAAAGCGTTGCCCGGGTGTCGGAGGTGCGGTCTTCGCCGGTGGTTGAATCATGGGACGGATTGACGGATGTGAGTGGGTCATGGGCAGTGCAACAAATATCAAGAGTTTATGTACTGTTGTGGACTATTCTACGTGTTGAAGGTATGCGTATGTGCCGTTTACGCAGCAGCACATGTAGACTACCGCAGTCTGCAGATAATGTAGATTATTCATAGCTATATAGACATAGTCCAAAACCCCAGCTCTCCAGAATGACGAAACTTATTGATTTGCAAGCAGTGCGCATTTACCGTAGTAGATGTCCGCCGTGTCTTTCGCAAGTGCTGATGAGCACCTTTTCAAGCAGATAATAAGCGGCCGCACGTCACATTGCAAGGTTCTCTATTTTCTACTTAGTATACAAATATTAGCAAATCGGCTGTCACCCCCCCGCCCCTGCTTATTTCCGTCACGTCCATTCAGTCAGCCCTAATGGCGCGCAGTGTAACCTACCCAAGGTGTTTGCCTCTCCGACGGAAGGGTTCTCTCTGATCGGGGTTGGCACCGAGGACTTCTCTCGAGTCCGTTGGTTCGTTTGTCTATTGATTGAGCGATAAGGTTTTCTGCGGCCTACTTCGCTCGAGTACGCTCGCCGACAAGCGCCCTCGAAAAGTGGCCGTGCAATCGTTGATGTGCTCCTCAGATCGGCTGTCCGCCTTTGAACAATCCACTACTACATTAGTCGCCGTTATCGCGGTTATCGGGGGTTGTCCTGTGTTTCGTCAGGTCTGCAGAGGAGCCGGCACCGTGTACCTGCTCTCCGCGCTAGATCTTCCCGACTCTCCGAGCAAGGCCAACCTGAGGGCGTTCAGAGCAGGTGCAATCTCGTTTCGAGCTAGAGCTAAAGCTGTCCGTGCCTGTATCCGTGCATGTATTGACATTGCGTCTCTTAGCGCCTCACTCATTGCCTTTCGCCTCTGGCCTCTCTCTCTCCCTCCCTCCCTCCCTCCCTCCCTCCCTCCCTGTCTCTCTCTCTCTATTTATATATATATATCTCGTTGTACCGCTTTCGACCCGACAAACACATGACCGCGATTGAGGCATCCCCCCATGAGAATAGCATAACTTAACCAAGGTCAACACAAAAAAAAAACTCACGAAACAATGTTCAGGGGTAAGCCGGGTGCTGGAATGCTGTCAGGAGTGCGGGGTGAGCGGCCTCGTCTTTTTGAGCTCCTCCCGGCTGTCGTCGTCGTCTTCGTATACTGACGCCGGTCGCAACGACAGCAGCACTTACAGCAGCGGCAGTAGCAGCAGCAGCCGCCTGGGTGTCATGCGTCAAGCGGAAGCGGAGGTGCTCAAAGCCAGGCAAGCACCAAACACGGAGGAGGGGGGGCAGATAGGGTTAGGCAATGATGTTTTTTTTGGTATTTGTAACGTTTGCGCTTCTCGCCAAATCGTGTCGGGTGGTGGGCGTAAGCATTAAGCACATTCGCTGGCGGACTGATACACTACGTCATCGTCTCGTGTGCCGCGGGGTCTACAATGATATTATTACACCTACGGTTAGGTGACTGCCGCTCATGTTTTTCCCCGTATTTCGAGCGGCCTCAGAGGTGAATAGAAGGGCACGTCGAACAATACGAGGACGGCACCTCCCTTTCTCCATACAAGGGTGTACGCGTGCCACACGCCTTCAGTACGGCCATCTGCCCGCCGCCTCGCCCCCGTCCATCTGTCGGTCACCCGATTCACACTTTAGCGGCTACGGCACTGCCCCCAGGCTAGTACAAGGAGCGATCGACGGGTAGTCAAAAGAGACAACCGAAGAATACACCAACAACAAGAACATGATGTAGCGAGGACTCAGAGATCAGAGACAGGAACCGTATTCGCCTGCAAGCGTCGTATTTGCGGGCTGCGCCTACACGTTACACCTTGTCACCGATCTGGGTTTTCTGCGGATGCCCTATCGTTTTCCGCGCATGATATGCGTGCTTACCCGGAACGACGCCCGCACGGTAAATTGTCGTTGCACGCATCATGAGCGGTGCGTTGTTGAGCAGGGGGCTGGCTTCCACACATACACATGGCGTGCCGTTGCTGCTGGATCTTCTCTTCCACCAATGCTTGCGGACATATCCTTTTCTTTCAGTTTTTATGTTCGCGAGACAATGCGTTTGTTGAGAGGTTGACACGTGTTGCACGAACGACGTTAACAAAATTCTCTCGTGTTTCTGCTGTGCGCCTCAACTTCCTCACACATATTTGCAGCGAGACCCAGAACCTTGGCGAAGGAGTGCTGTACACATGTGCCCTAAGACCAGGACTCGTCTACGGAGCGGGGAAAGATGAGTGAGTTGTGGGCCGAGCGAGTTAGCGTGCGTAACCGTGTCGCTGCTGTCGCTGTCGAGTTCACTACAATACGTGGGTTAGCCAACTTGTGTTTCATCTGTTTCCCGCTTCGCCTCTGTTTTCTGTGACTCTGTTTTTCTTCCACCTTCGTGTTTCGTTCGCTCCCTTGGTCTCTCATGTCATGTCTCCCCCCCCCTGCCTCCTTCAGGCCGCTGCTGCGGGCGCTGTCATGGATGGGGTGGGGTCTAAACCGCGTGACCCTTCGCGGGCTCCCGGAAGCCAAGTCGGACATGATTTTCTTCCAGAACCTGGTGCGCCGTTAACAGTCGATTCTTTGCCCTCTCTCCCGGTCAGCTCTGTAGGCGTTACGGTGGGAGTCCCTCGGTAGTGCCATTGCCCGGTATGGTGCCGGTACGATCGCGTGACACGGATGGCCTATCAAGTTCTCAAGTTGTCTCATTCTCTGAATAGTGCCCAGTACAGTGCCGGTGAATCTGGCTGGCCCATGTACCGGTACTACCGTGGGACCGACCCCTATCCTCTTGTAATTATTGTCGCTTGTTGTTGTCGTCTGGTGTCATGGCATCTCTTTTCCAGGCGGGGGACATGTCACTCTCGCTTTCCATGCGTAAAGACCTGTGTTGGGCCAAAAATTGGAGCAGAGTGGCGTTTTACGGTTTGAGCTGTTGAGGTAGTGGTTGTAAAGGGAACGCTTCTGTTTCCTTCGCTAATCTATTTCATTTCACAGAAGATCCAAGTCGACATGAAGGTATTACTATGCGCCAAGTGTTGCGTGTTAGGGTATCGTTCTGTCACGGACAGAACCAAAGCCAGGCCTGAGATAACTCCATTTGCCGCGTGGTGTGAGTTGAAAAACCCATCTCCTCCGTGCTGAATTGAAGGCAAGATACAAGTCAGCAAGGTACGGCTCGTGGACTTTTCGACATGGAAGCCGGCGCCTTTTTTTTCACGCAGCGTCCCTAGCCGCTGAACACACAGCAACAACACCATCCGTTGTCGTGTAGGTCATCTGCCGACAACTTCTCCTGTTCGTGTAGCTCATCTGCCGGTCTCCCCCCGCCCCTTGCCAAATTTCTCACGATTAATACACGAAAGATCGACGCGACCGTGCTGGCCGGCACCCAGCTTACGGAGGGGGCGGCGGGTGCCCAGGCCGGCGGGGCGGGGTGGAGCACGCGGAAGGGACCGGCGTGTTCCGGCCAATCGTACTGTGTCACCGACGGGCAGCGCGGGGGCGGAGACGGAGAAGGTGGAGGTGTACAGCCGGGCGGCCTGCAGGCGTTCATGGACGGCGTTCTCGAAGGCCTAGGTGCGTCGCTCGCTCACTCGCCCCCTCTTGCTGCCGTCGCCGCCGCTGCTACTGCTACTTCTTCTGCTGTTACTGGTGGTGGTGATGGTGGTTGCTGTCGGTGTAGACTAGTTGTTGGTTGTGGCGGCTGTGGTGGTGGAGGCAGTCGTGTATTGTTGTCAAGCATTGTCGTTGCCGTCATCGGTTGCCGAATTTACGGTGGCGGTGTGGATGTGGAAGGCCTAGACACGGCCGGTCCTTGGAAAGCTTTCACTCGTGCTTGGTTTGCTGGTGGTTAGTGATGGTGGTGGTGATGGCACCAATAGGTTGGGAGATAACAACTCACTCCGAGAATAGACAGAAGTGCGGGTTGTGCTGTCTCAGCCTTGCTCCTCTCTTTCCCGCGCGTTGAACATCTTCTTGTACTCACGAGTAAGTCGCCTTCGAGGAGAACCCTTTGTAGAGAACGCCCGCCCGTTTGACTCGCAGAACCCTCCATGGGGTGTTGTACTTGGCACTCAGTTTCTTCGCCCTTGTTCCTGACGCCGGTGTGAACACACCGCCGTGCCAATCCCCTACGGTGCCCTACCCCCCGCCCACCCCCGTTCTCTACGCCATAATTCCGCGTTTTCTGAAGTCCTGAGACGCAAATTAACGGTTGTAAGCGACGACGTGTGTTAACGTTTTGCTCCGCGCGCGCACATCTCTCTGCCTGTGTCCCCCTCCCCCCCCCCCCCCCCCCCCCCCCCCCCCCCCCCCACCCCCC